AAGCTATGCAAGAGCATGAGGGTTTGTGTTCAAGCCTTAATATACTAGCACCAAAAAACACATATAACTGTGTCTCACACATAATAAACACTCTGTAAGTGTTAGCTACTGTGTTCTTGCTGCTAATACTATAATGATACCTTTTCTTCGTTTCAGCTTCCTCCTCAACAAAGGGGAAAAACAAGACTTAAGCTCACTAACTTATGAGGATTAATAGTGGCTAAGTATATAAAAAAAATCACACGCCTTCTAAAGTTCTGCATAAAATAGGAAAATGGAAAGAATCACAGCAGGCAATCGTAGGTAGAGAAAACCAAAAGATATAATCCAGAAAATAATATATTTTAGCTTTTAAATGTATGTGCTGACGCAAATCTTCCTCCTACTTGATCTACTCACCATCTTCCCCTCCTGCTAATACCAAAATGAGTTTGCATTCTCTGTATGCAAACCATGTAAGAGCAGAAAGAATAACCAGGAGTGGAATTACTTGGAATTATCAATTCATTGTAGGTTTCTAGGCAGAGAGAATAGCTCAAGATTATACATTTGATTTTTCCCACCTACACTCATCATTCCTGTTGTGACAGAAATGACATAATAAATGTGAAAAATGCCTGTGTGTGGTAGTGAGAAAAAGTGAGAGGAAACTCCATCAGAATTTTTCCTCACAAAAATATCAGTTCTTCAAAGATATGTGGCTGGTGGCTCATGCTTGCAATCCTAGCTTCTCAGGAAACTGAGATGTAAAGATCATTGTTCAAACTCCTTGAGACTCATCTCCAATTAACCTCCAAAAAGCTGAAAGTAGAGGTGTGGCTGAAGTGGTAGAATGCCAGCTTTGAATGAAAAACCTAAGGGACAGTGGCCCAGGCCTTGAGTTCAAGCTCCAGTACCAGCAACACACACACACACACACACACACACACACACACACACACACACACACACACACACACACACACACACACACACACACGCCCAGACTTTCTCTAGTCCTTCCTTTACTGCCTGGGATCTCTGATTGTGATCTGCATCTTTCATCTTCCACATCAACAGCTTTTCTAATGATCTCTCTGTTTGTAAACATCATCCAGAAAAAGAGATTTTGCCCAAACCTTCACTTAAACCAGAGATTCTCACATGTAGCTTGGATCAGAATTGCCTGCAAGGCTTGATAACACATAGGCACTATGTGGGCCTTTACCCCACTTTCCAAGTCAGCAGATCTAAGTGGGGCAATAGATTTTTTTTTCATTTCTAACAAGTTCTTGGGTGGTAGTGAGGTTGCTGGGTCTGGAACCACATGTTGAAAATCACTAAATTAAACCTAGTTGTCCTCAATTTATCTCATTTCCCTCAGCCAACTTCTTTTAAGACATTCTAAATATTTAAATATCTTTTAGGCTGGCGCCGGTGGCTCATGCCTGTAATCCTAGCTACTCAGGAAGCTGAAATCTGAGGATTGTGATTCAAAGCCAGCCATGAAAAAAAAGTCCCCATGAGACTTTTATCTCCAATTAAACACTCAAAAATTGGAAGTGGAGCTGTCGCTCAAAGTGGTAGAGCCACTAGCCTTGAGCTGAAGAGCTCAGGGACAGCCTCCAGGCCCTGAGTTCAAACGCCACAACTGACAATTCAACTATCCATCTATCCATCTATCTATCTATCTATCCATCTATCTATCTATCCATCTATTTCTCTCTATTTCTATCTCTCTCATATATATATATATATATATATATATATATCTTTTAAACATGTTTTTCTTTTTAAACAGTTTTTTAATCACACAGGAAAACATAATAATATTAAAATTAGTGAAGTGAAACTTGATCCTTCCCACATGGCTGGTGGAAATGTAAAATGCTGTAGAAACATTTTTAAGCAAAATAATTCTTCAAAAAGTTAAGCATAAAGTTATCATATGGCCCAAATATTGCACTCTGAGTACCTAATAAAAGAACTGAAAACATATCAACCCTAAAACTTGTACCCAAAAGTTTTGAACAGTAATGTACATAATCAAAGTTGGAAACAAGCCAAATGTCTATGGATGGACAGACGGATGGATGGATCGTGGTCTATTCATACTACAGAATATTACTAAGCAATAAAGAGAAATGAAATATAGAAACATGATAGTGCATGGATGAACTGCTAAGTGAAAAAAGTCAGACACAAGAACCCACATTTTGTATGATTTCATTTATATGAAATGTGTGGCAAAGGCAGATCTATAAAGACAGATTAGTGGTTGCTTGAGACTGAATGGCAAGTGATTGCAAATAAGCATGAGGAATCTTTTTAGGATGATGTGTTTCTAAAGGTGGATCATGGTAATGACTGTACATCATTGTAAATTTACTAAAAGTCTTTGAATTATACATTCAAATTAGGTGAGTTTATGATGTGCAAAGCTATTTTCATTTCTTCTTAATGCCTCATCCTTACAGGACCATCATGCCATTGGCCTTCGATGCCCACTACTTTACTAAATTTGCTTCCTTGAAGGTCACTTGTGATTGCAAACTGTCAAAGCCATTAACAGTCATCATCTTCCATAATGGCAATACACCAGCAGATTTCTCCCTCTACTTCAGCTGCTTGACCTTTCAGTTTTCTTTCCTGCCTCATTTTCATTATCCTACTCCCAAGCTGAGTGTTTGACAAGCATCCTCCAAAGAATATACTTGTGTACTTCTTTCATCTCAACTAGAACATATTCCAATTCTAACTTCTCCACCAAACCAGCATCCTTGAGTACGTGCCCCATGTATGTGGATAACTTTTTGCAAGTTACTAGGCCTCAGTAGTGTATCTCCTTTGTTCCTATGCTCTACTCACGAAGCTTTCTCTACTTTCTCAAAAAGTGTCATTTATTTTTTAGCAAACAATGTAAACAGATAATTCACATGCGATGCAATTCCAACAGATGAAAAAAATGTTCAAAGTCAAATGATCAAAGTAAGCAAGTTACAACAATAATAGGTACCATTGACACCCACTGCATTAGAAAAAGAACATTATCAATGAAGAGAATACTTGCAGAAAGTGGTATTCTGCTATAGTGCTGATGGCCAAGTAAAACACCTCCTGGGGAAAAGAGTGGTGAAATCCATAAAGAACCATAAGAATGCTCCCAACTCCAGATAATTGTTTTTAATGAGATCATCAAAATGAGAAAAAAGGCTATAGTTACTCAAAATGTTCTGCAGCATTACTTCTTAATAGCAAGAAATAGGAAACAAACTAATTACCCAACAATTTAGAAATTAGTAAGCAAATTAGAGCACATTAAGCTGGTGAAATATTAGATGGCCATTAAAAATTGTAACTATTGAGAAAAATTGCACAGCAGCATGAAAAAAACATTCATCAAGTAATGCCCCTGAAAGGAAGAATCAGATGCATAAAAATACATCTACATAGTTATTATAACCATGCCAGAAATAATCTCCATACGTATAGATAAAGCCAGCAGAGAAATGAAAACAATAAGGATGGGAAGGTGGTAGAAATCAGACTACTTTTTTCTTCTGGTTTTTAATTTCTTGTAATATTGTTTTCATAATAGACAAACTTTTTTTCTCCAGAAGCATCCCATATATATATTTCTCTCTTCTGTACCTACCACTCCACCTCCCTAATCCAGGCCACACTCTTTCATGCCTGGCTCACTGCCAGTTGGGTTCCCCTTACAACATCCAGGCTACAGATGCTGCCAGATTGCCTAAAAGGTCACATTGATCAACTCACTTACCTGATCAGTGATCTTTGTTATAGAAACGATAATGTTTTTTTTTTAACCGATGCAGGAAAACAAAAGTTGTGCAAACTAATAGGCATTCACATTATGAAATATTTAAATCAGGTTAAATATATCTACCTCGTCAAACATTCATCATTTCTTTGTGGTATAACTTTCCAAAAACCTCTTTTGGAAATCTATAGCACAGCTCATTAATGCTATCTGTAGTCATCATACTGTAGAATAGCACGTGGGAAATTCTTGCTCCTATCTCAGTGTAACTCAGTGCCTACTGCTGCTCAGTGATCTTTAATTGCTCTCATATTTCAATCTAGCTTCCTGGCCCAATGCTAAACTAGTCACCTTTCCTCTTTACTGTTATGAGTGCTGATGCTCCACTTCTTCAGGATCACATGAAACATTTACTGAGGGTTTTCAAAGTCAGATTTTGTTTTCAAGAATTTACTTTCTGTGTGTATGCCAGAAGTAGGGCTTGGACTCAGGGTCTGGGTACTATCCCTTAGCTTTTACACTCAAGGGTAGAACTCTACCACTTGAATCATACCTACGCTTTCGGGCTTTTTCTGTGGGTCTGGCTCTGAATTGTGATCCTCAGATCTCAGCCTCCTGAGTAGCTAGGATTACAAGTATGAGGTACCAGCGCCTGGTTTTACCCCTAGACTTTTAATGAACAGACCTTGTTTTCCATAAGCCCTTTGGGAAGAACTGTTGCCAAGAAGCAGGCACCTCCAACAACTCTGGGGACAGTTCCTACAGAGGGATGTCCCTCTTACCACTGTGCCTGCTGTAAATGCCCCAGGACCACTGTGTAAATGGCACAGTTGATTCCTCTTCATTTCTGTTTTAACAGTCTGATCCCATAAATCCTTGGGGCTTGCATGGGCATTGCTGCCTCAGGCCTCGGAGTGTCCATCACACTGTCCCACAAAACTGCCCAATGTGGCAGATAAGGAAAAGCCACTGAAGGATGGTAGGGGGCTGGTGCGCCCACTCTTTCTCTACCCACCCTCATAGAGGGTTGCTATACAAGATCTAAAATGTTCTTACAATCAACAAGGTCTATACCAGCAGTCTGAGATACGGGCTAGATATCCTATTGGCATAAGTCCCTGGTATGGACACCAGACCAGTTTCCTCAAAGGAAACAAATCACACCTAAAACCTTAGCAATTTCTATAGAAGACCCAGAAGCACCAGACTCACCCCAACTCCCTGAATGGTCACTTACCTCCCCGACTGGCTAGTCTTTCTATTTCCTGTTATTGGTTTCCATTTGTCCCCAGGAAATTCCTGCAAAGCAAAATTCTGATAAGTTAGAGAGCTCCGAATGGCCAGGTGCGAGACTGTCCCTAGCCAGGCTACCCAATTGGTATGATTATTGTTCCAGGCCAACTAGGGAAATATGCACCTGGAAGTCTGCCTTTCTGTCGAGAAGATTGCTGAACTGCCGCAGGCATACAGACACCCAGAGAGCACTCAGGGACCTGGACACTGTAGGTTAAGAACACTGCATTTCCCTCTTGTTCCCCTCCCTTCCTAAACCATGGTTTAAAAAAAAAACCAGTTTAGCATGTTTGCTGTTTGCTCTGGCTCTTGCCTGCACTGAAGGATGGAGGTCTTTTTGTTTGTTCTGCTGGATGAACCTGCTCATTCCTTCTACCTCTCTTGATACAGAAAGCATCTTCTTGGAAACTCTGGCCTGGAAGGGGCTTTGAGGACAGGACATTGTACTGTAGCAACCCTCTCCCTGGATGGATAGAGGGACATCATGCATGCCAGTCCCTCTATTCTGCAAAGGCTCTTCCTCTTTTGCCCATGTCTGCTAGCAGGGCCTGAGGTGGCCTCATACATTTGCACCAGGTGCCATGGTCTCCGCACTATACTCCCCACTCTGGGAATTTTTTACTTTTTTTATTATGCCTAAGCAGCATTTTTCCTTTCAGGCCAAGCCAAACATATAATTTCTAAAAATGTCCCTGGGCTTCCTATTCTAACTACAAACTGAAAGCAAATTTGCTTTGAAGATCCTGATTTTGCGGGGGGGGGGGGGCAGGGATGGTATGTATGTTCCAGAACTGGGGTTTGAACTCAAAGCCTTATATTCTCCCTTAACATCTTTCCTCAAGGCTGACCCTCTCCCACTTAAACCACACCTCTAATGTCTGGCTTTTTTGCTAAGTTACCTGGAGATAAAGAGTTGCACAGATTTATGTGTGTGTGTGTGTGTAGGCTGACTTTGAACCAGGATCCTCAGATCTTAGCCTCCTGAGTAGCTAGGATTAGAAGCATGCACCAACAGCACCCAGTTTAAGCCTCTGATTTCAGATCCAGCCCTCCATGTATAAACTCAGAGCTTAGCTCAATGGTAATGGACAGTTTTTCCTAAACCTTGCCAATCTTCCAAGTTGTTTTTCTCCAGTGCTGTTATTATTAGCTCTAGTCAAGATTTTATTGCCTTTCTCCCAGTATACTTCCCTTTGAGAGATCAGACACCTGTTGAAGGAGAATGAATATAGGACTTTGTGTAAATCATATTGGCTAAGACAGTTTTAGCTGTGTTATTTGAAACAAGTTCTGTTATTTCCCATCTGGCAAATAAGGATTGTGCTGTTTAGTCTTGCTGGATTACCAGCTGTGAGGATTAAATAAAATGTGGTGCAGCAAGAATACCCAGCCCAGTCCTCGGCATATATAGAAGGCTCTAGATGGATAAGGTTGCCACTGCCTGTAGTTCTGTCATTTGAGATACTGAGGCAGGAAGATCACTTAAGCTCATGAGTTCAAGACCAGCCTGAACAACATAGGAAAAACCTCATCTCAAAAAGATTTTTAAAAGAAAGTTCTAGCTGTGTACTGATATTTGCCATCAATGTGAGTCTAACTACTTTAACTTCAGACTACATCAAGGCCATTGTGAGATGTCCCTGCACAGACACCATAATTCATTTAGCCACAGCAAGAGCCAGACTTTCCTGTCCATGCACTTGTCAAGTCCTGTAGAAGTGCTCAAAAAAAAGCAGCGGCCAAACAAAACAAACTCCTCTCTACCTCTTCAAAATCCAATATCCCTCCCAGAACTGTGGCACTGTTTCTCTTAACCATTTAGATGTCTATAAATGACCTGTGCCCTTTGAACCAAAGAGGCAGTAATCCACATGGCTGGTTGCAGTTGGGGATCATTGTGGAACTTGCTGACCTAATTAAGTACTAGGTGGCATCCTGCCACACTAGAGAGGGGACTGGGCTTTGCAATTGGCTTGTGGAAAGGCAGGGCTGCACCCTCAGGAGTTGTTCTCTGTAGCTAAATGGCAGGACTATAAATCCTATACCCACCTTCACTAGCTGGGTGAACTCTGAACAGCCAGGTAGCAGACAGTCAGGTAGGACAACTTCTCTTTCTTTTAGTTCCCCCAGCTATATTAGAGTAGCCTATTTGTGATCACATGAGCACCTGTTTCTTGGCTACTTGAGAACATCAGTACATCTAAAACACCTAGAACTATATCTGATGTCCAATGGACACTCCCCACCCCCAATGTTAGTTACTATGATGTTGTTCAACTCCTGAATCTGGCACTTGTAAGATGTGTATTCTGGGTGAGCTTCAGTTTTCTCCATTGTAAAATGAGGATCCTATCATAATTTATCTCATACAAATGTTACATGAACAAAATTGACAATGCATTCACTCATGAAATAAGTAAGATGTGTGTGCTGACTTCCATTCTCCTACTATCACTGCATAAAAGCTGATTAGCGCTCAACCTTCTGTAGGGGCATGAGAAGCTGAATTTCAATCTTACTTCTGACAGTCACCCACTGGAAATTACAGCTGGAACATCTGCACACATGATGCATGCTCTCCCCATACGTTGTGAGATTGGAGACAGCAGAGTTCTGATGGCAAGTGTAGAATGGGCATACAGTGGCTGTGAGCAGCCATCTACATATCCAAAGACTGAGTAGTTCATCTAACAAGCAATTAAGAATTCAGTATATCCTTCCCTCACAAGCACACAAGGACACATATAGATAGGGACAGGTTCACCTGCATTGCTGCCGATTGCTGCTGCCTAGTAGTTGAAAGAAGTTTACAGTGAACAAACCATATGCCCATCACTTAGATTCTACAGTTATCATTTTGCTATATTTACTTTATCATATATCTGTTTACCCTTCAATCCATCCACCAATCCATCTTAAATCCTTGATGTACTTTCAAGGTAAATTGCAATAACTTATCTGCATAAATTTGAAAACAAACAAAATTGAAAAACTCCTTCAAAGCCTCAAACTAGCAAAGCTTATTCAAGAAGAAATAGATAACTGAAATAACTCTTTCTAGGAAGGGAGTTAAAACTTGTAGTTAAAAACTTGTGTGCGCACACACACACACATACACACACCACTTGAGGACCAGTTGGCTTCAATAATGAAACAGATACTTTAAAAAGAAAATACCAGTTCTATACAAACTCTTTCTGAAAACAGAAGCAAAAATAATCCTTTCCAACTCATTCTTTAAAGTCAGTATTTTCTAGATATAAAATGGGATGAAGTTTTTACAATAAACTACAGACTAAAAACCCTGAACATCACAGACACAAAAATCCTCAACAAAATATTAACAAATCAAATCTAGTGACATTAAAAAGGACAATACATTTTGATCAAATGGCATTTATCTTGGCAATGCTTAATATGTTGTTCATTTCAAGAACCAATCAATATAATTCACCATATGAACAGACAAAAAGAGACCATGTCATTTTTCCTATATAGTTATTTGAATAGACAAATCTTTTGAAACTAATAAAAGAGTATTTACTCAATCTAGTAAAGGACACAAACAAAAAACCCTATAGCTAACATCAAACTTAGTAGTAAAAAATTTAAGAACAAAGTAATGTCTGCTGCCTGCCACTTCTTCTGAACTTGGTATTAGAGGTCCTAGATAGTACATTTGGGCCTCTATCTACCCAAGGTAATGGCATAAAAAATGGAATGCAAGATATAAAATTCCTTCTAAAGCCAAGTATAGTAGAGCAGGCTTATAATCCCAGCTATTTGGGAGATGGAAACAGTATGATCAAAAGTTCAAGGCCAGCTTCAGACAAAGTTAGTGAGAACCTGTCAAAAACAAAATAAAAACCAAAGGACTAGAGGGAATGGCTCAAGTGGTAGAGTACTTGCCTAACAGGCAGAAGGCCCTGAACTCAATCTTCAACACCTCAAAAAAATTTTAATTCCTAGATGCCATGATTGCCTATGAAAAAAATGTTTATAACCTATTGAAAGACTACTAGATTTAATTCACAAACAATAACAAATTTGCAAGACATAAAGCCAGTAAAGGCAGTTCAACTATATTTCTACATAATAGTAACAAAGAATTTTAACTTTACATTAAGAAAAAAATTATTATAATAGCATCAGAAACTGTGAAACCTTAGAGATAAGTATAACAAAATATATTTAAAATTTATATGCTGAAAACTTTAAGTTGGTACATAACTGGCCTTTAGTAACAACTCATCATACATAGTAAATAATGGCTAATATTCGCTTAGAGTTTTTGGGCAAGTTTTTGAGCAAACTTTGCTTCCCATGATATGCACAACTATGAGGTACACATCTGTCGAATTTTGATGAAAACACTTGTATAAATTTAGTCCTTACCAAGTTGTAGAATATACACTTATGTTCTTTTCCAGTCATTCACTGGGCCAGCACTTCCTGGCAAGCCAGCTCTCAATTTTTTTCCCCATAGAAGAGCTTCTTTACTTATTTCCTAAGTTCCTTTTTCCCCAAGAATATATATTGAGGGGTTTCAAACATCTGGCACAGGAATTAATTACGTTTTGACCACAACAGCCTCAGAGAGTCACTACAGATGCAATGGGAAAGAAATGAGGCAACGGGCATTCTACCACTTGAGCCACAACTCCATTTCTAGCTTTTAGCTGGTTAATTGGAAATAAGAGTCCCATGGTATTTCCTGTCTGGGCTGGCTTCAAATCATGATCCTCAGATCTCAGCCTCCTGAGTAGCTAGGATTGCAGGCATGAACCACCAGCTCCTCAAGAGTTCTTTTCAATTGAAGGAGTCAAAATTACTTTTGTCTAGCTCTAAAGATGCACAAGTATATTGCACTCAGTGGATGAGTGTCAGACCCAAGTTTACTAAGCCACTACCTTGTGGCATGAGCCACTCATGCCCACCTCATATTACGCAAGTGTAATTATTATATTTTCAAATGATTGGCCTACCTTGCTCCTTACATAGAGAATAATGAAGCTCACTTCCCTCCCAAGATCCATGTGCTCACCTGCACTGCTGGCTTCCGGGGCTTCCAAGCATTGCCAGGTGGCAAGCTGCCATCCTCATGGGTACTGTGCTGAGAATTATGATAGCAAGATGCACACCGAATGCACTGGTGGTGGTGGCACCTGCAATTGTAGCAGTTAGGCATCATATTTCTCTTTAGCAAGGCAGGACATAGTTCTCCAGAACAATAAATGCAAGGGTCATGAACAACAGCTCCCTGGACACTGCAGGAGTAGGAACAGGTCCTGTGGTAATCAAAATCACCACAGCACAGTGGCTTGCAACACACTGTATTTTCTAGACTTTTGCTTGCAAAGCATTCTGAGTATGCAGGAGTTTCTGACTGAAGAGATGACATGGAATGATATGATTGGTCTGTGGCATGATATGGTTGATCTGTGGGATGATATGATTGGTCCATGGGATGGCGCCTCAATTCCCTGTAGCTGGAGCTCATTGACTGGAAGTTTTGATCTAAAGGTTTGGGTCTCTGAGTAAAAGTCTTGTTCCCATGAGTGGTTAAACCTGGCAAATGAGATGTAGATAAGGATTTGCTACTCTCTTCAAAGAAATTTCTTCTGTCTGCAAAGGGCAGAAGGATGGCTTCCTCCCCAGCTTGGGCAGTAGTAACCTTCAATTCTTTGTTGTCTCTTGGGCTGGAAGGGCCTTCCATGGCGAGTGCCACATGTGCCTGTGAGTTATGCTCTGGAGACCATCTCCACTGACCACTACGGACCCCACAGTGAGCACTTGCTTTCTCGGAGTCTGAGGGAGATAAGTCAGTTGCTTTCCACCAGGTGTTCAGGCCCGAGGAGGACTGGCCAGGCCTCTGACCAGGGCTTACTTGTTCCTCTAAGCTTAGCCTAGACTCGTGCCTCTCAGGGGCTTGGCTGAGGCATTCTGAAGATCTAGCCTTGAGCATCATGCTTCTGTTGAAGAGTTTCTCTCTAGGACTAGGAGGTTTTTTATATGAAGATAGAAGAGATGAGTTAGAGGCAGGGAGTGGAGGACTTTGTGGTGGCTCCTGGGTCTCTTCCACTGGCTCCTTAGTGTCACACAACTGTGACAAGGGGCTCTTGCTTTTCTGGAGCTGGGCTTTCCTCCTCTGAATTTCATTCCTAAGGTTGGTAGCAAAACGCTCACTCTTCCTCCGGTTCTGGATTGAGCGGCCACGGTGAGCTCCACTCTTCTTACCTCCTGTTCTCCCACTCTCCTTGGGCTCATTGTCCGTTTCTTCACTTGCCCTGATGCTACCAGCTCCTTTAGTGGTTGAAAAGCAGTCTCTGGTTTGTTGAGTGAGAGAGCCAGAGGCAGAGAGCTGCTGGCTGGCCATTCCATTGCCTCTTCTGCTGGGGTCCAAGAAATCTCTTTCTGGAACATGTCCATCAGCCTCTCCATGTGGAGAACTGCTTTGGCTCTGGGGTTCTGAATCCAAAGGCTTATCATCCATTGGCTTTGTCTTTCTTTCTTTACTGGGCTGGTCATAGGCTTCTCCTATTGAGCCACATGGACCGTTTTTCCCTTTTTGGCTGCTGTGCAAAGGGGACAGAGTCCACTTATGCTCATCCTGCTCAGTTGCTAGCTCTGTCCCCTTGCTGCCCCTGGGATCAAAGTGTACATGCTGCAGGTGGGCTGCCAGAAGCTGTTCAGGGGCACTGTGGCGATGCCCTGTGAGTCCTGTAAGGTTTGGTAGGCCCCTCAAGGGAGAGGTGTCAGCAAGTTCTGCTGACCTCTCATTGCGCAGGCTGAGATCTCTGCTTGAAGTTTGGTCACAGGCTTTTGGAGAAGCCTCCATCAATAGATGCTCAGAGTCCTGCTCACTAGATTCAGGAGTCTGGCTGAGCTCACAGTTCTGATGGCCTTCACCTGTCACTTGATCTTGCCTGCTGAGGCAGTGGAATTGGTTAGGGTTCCTTGGGGACAGTACTGTCTCTAAGCTTGCTTTCTCCTTCAGCAGCAAGGAGTCTACAGGCTCAGAAGCCCTGCGCTGCTCTCCATTGAAGAGTTGGGCTCTGGAAGCCTGAAGGCTATCCCGCCTCACTGGAGGTTGTGGTGGACCTCTCACCACTTTGGAAGACCCTGAGTGGTGACCTTCCTGTGGGCGGGATGACAGCTGAGAACTGGGAGTCAGGTGGCCCCCATTGGTGCGTTGGCTACTTCCTGAGGTCTCAGACACATTGGATCGGTCATTAGGAGCCTTACTTGGTCCTGGGCTTTGCGTGATACAGTCTGCAGAGACTGGCTCCTCTGGCCTGATAGAAAGAGCACAGTCAGAGGCATTTGAGCTGGCCGAGAAGGAGCTGTAAGCTGAATCTCGCTGGTTAGGGTACATGTTCTGGTCAATGGGTAAAAGGTGGCCCTCATAGGAGGCTTGGCCTGGTTGTTCTAGGCTCTCCATGCTGCCAATGGAGCTGCTCTTCTCAGTGCTACAGTGCCGGGACAGGGGACACCACTGCACACACACGTCACTGCAAGATACAGGGCAAATCCATTAGTTAGTCAAGCCATTTATCCCTTTCTCACCTTGGCCTACGTTGACATGTGAAAAGTCAGGACAACCCAAAGCTACCCATATCACAAATGCAAGGGCATTGAAACAGAAAGGAAGAAAGAGAAATAGGGAAGAGTTGGTCATTGGCCACCATAAGGATATGGCAAAATGGAGGACAAGATGACATATGGAAGAAGAATGGGAAAACAATCCAAAGACTAAAAGTGGGCAAATGCTATGGGAACTATGCACTATTTCTTTACCATCAACAAATCTGATCTTGCTTCTGGGCTGTCACTGGAGCATGTGATTCTCTGCTATGAGAAACAGCTACTGGGTGTCTTCATTGGTAAGGGGTTTTTATGATGTTGATTCAATTTTAGCCAGGCCATTTCAGAAATGAATGACTCTCAAATTTGAGTCTGCTTCACAATCATGTGGGAGACTCATTACAACACAGGCCACTGGGCCTCATCCTAGAGTTTCAGGTCCAGGTAGAATTTGCACTACTAAAATTTTTCCAGGTGTTGGTGGGTCTGTTGACCCAGAGACCTCACCTTTGAGAATCACTGATATCAACAAAGCAAAGGGAAGTGACCGTGAACAGGTGATTTTCCCAAGTTTTTAACTAAAGGCCCAAGCTGGAAATTTAGGTGGTCCTCATATTATTCTATTCTATTCTATTCTTCTCTCCTCTAGTTTTCTCTTTTGTCCCATCCCATCACCACTTCATATTTCATTCCATTCTTTTTTTTTCAGTGCTGGAGATGAAACCCAGGGTATTGCACATGCTAGGCAATTGCTCTACCACTGAGTTACATCTCCAGCCCCTCCCATTCTTTTGTTGATGATAACATAGGTATTAGTTGAGAACCTACCATTTACCAGGCACTTCACAATATTCCATTTTAAGCCCACATGAGAAAATTATTATCTCTACTTAATAACTGAGAATACCAAAATTTAGAGAGGTTAGGTAAACAGACATGTTCACTAAGCTACTGAAGAAGCAGAGCTCCAGTTGGAAATCAGGCTTTCTGAATTTAGTGTCTTAGCTCTTCTCTGAGACCATCTTTTCCTTCCTTCCTTCCTTCCTTCCTTCCTTCCTTCTTTCTTTCTTTTTCTTTTTAATTTAAATTTTATTGTAAAGGTAATATACAGAGGTGTTATAGTTGCTTAAGTCAGGTAACGAGTATATTTCTTTTTGAAGTGTCACTCCCTCCCTCATTTTCTCCCTCTTTCCTTCCCCCCACCCCATTCCCGACACAATTGTAAAGCTCATTTCCAACATAGTGTCTAGTGAGTATCACTGTTGCACTGGTTCGTTCTTGGTCCCACATTTTCTGTAATTCCTCTTTCCTTCTCCTAATCAGACAAACTTATACACCAGACAGAGGGTACAGAAATTTAAAAAAAAAAAACAGAGACAACAGGGAATAAACCAAAGGAAATCAAAGAAAGAAAAGAAATAACTACAAACAGTACATCTAAAATCTCTTGTTCTCATTTCTTGAAGAGACCATTCTTTGAATGGAAATAACGATAATATGTCTGTAAGAGGACTGCTGTGCAGAGCCCTTGTCATAAGCCAAGCACTGAACAAGGTTTTACTACATAGCAGTGGCAGCTGTCTTGATGGTTGTACTAGTTATCAATGTCCTTTCTATTGTTAGTGTTGATAGTATAGTAGCCTCTGCCGATCCATGCCTCCCCCATCCCCCACAGCAAAGCCAACTAGGGAGACCAAGGATCAAATGCAATCTTGAATGCTAAGTACTATTTCCCATACATGTAGCCCTACAGAGCCAAGTCATGTCAGTAATTCCCTTTGACTAGAACTCCAGAGGTTGCAGGCTGCTCTCAAGAAGGCCATAGCCCAGAAATCCATAGCTGAGCTGTGACAAATAGCCCACAGGACTCTCTGGTCAGCTTTTCTTAATTCTTTGCTCCCTGCCTCACTCCCAAGCCACTCTTCTCACTGTGCAAGAGGCTACGAATTCATCAGGTTCTTGTTGGCAAGGAAACATGCTACCCGCCCTTCTACCCTTCCTGCTGAAGAAACTACACCCCCACTCAAACAGAAGCCAAGCTCAGTGTGTGTTTCTGTGTATTCTTCTAAAGCATAATTGCCTCTGCCCCAAGCCTCTGGGTTTCAATGCCAAATAAAGTCACCAAGACTCCTCCCTTTATTTCACCAAGTACCCTTGGAGAGGGAAGAGCTGGTTATGGAAGGAGAAAGACAGCTGAGGACAGTGTGGTGGCCAGTACTGAGCACATCACAAAACTGTCTGCTGGGTGCTGATGGCTCATGCCTGTAATCCTAGGTACTTAGGAGGCTGAGATCTGAAGATCACAGTTCAAGGCCAATCTTCACAGAAAGTTCAAGAGAGTAAAATTCCCAATTAATCAGCAAAAAGCTGTGGGCTGTGGAGCTGTGGCTAAAGTGGTAGAGTGTTTGCCATGAGCATAAAAGCTCAAGGACAGTGCCCAGGCTCTGACTTAAAGCTCCAGAATTGCCCCTCTCCCAGCACAAGCATTGTCTGACCTTTGGATAGTTGTATCAACAACACACACCAGCAAGGTCCTTGAATTGAGTGATCTTTCTTTTTGGTAGAACCTGTTATTTGGAAAGGTCTCCATTTGGGGGTTTTGATTCTTCAAAGTGAATGATGTATATTTAATGGGGTCCCTAAGGAGTCACTAAAGATGCAAAAGCCCACCAGAATGGAACTCTGTGGTTATTTCACACTAAATGAGAAGAAAAATCAAGGAATTAGGGAAAGGGACTGAAAACAAGCAGCTAATGAAATAGGATAAGAAATGGAGTGCTGATGGCTCATGCCTGTAATCCTAGCTATTCAGAGGGGTGAGATCTGGAAGATTGTAGTTTGATTGGGCTGAGATCTGGAAGATTGTAGTTTGTTATCAGTCTGGGCAGAAAAGTCCATGAGACTTACCTCCAAAATAACCATCAAAAAGCTAGGCTAGAGGTTTGACTCAAGTGACAGAGTGAAAAGCAGTCTGAACAAGCATCTGAGAGAGCTCAGAGCTCTCAGTTCGAACCATGGTACCAACAAAAACAAAATGGACAACAACAACAAGAACAAAAAGAAACAGGATGAGAAGGAGGTCTGTTTGGTGTCTTACAACCCAAGAGAGGTACTTTAAAAAAAACACAAAAACATCAAAACCCAGGCTCACACTTGCAATCCTAGCTACTCAGCAGGAAGTGATCTGAGGACTGAGGTTCAAAGCCTGAGCAGGAAAGACCATGAGACTCTTATTTCCAATTAACCACCAGAAAAATTGAAAGTGGTGCTGTGGCTCAAAGTGGTAGAATGCTAGCTTTGAGCAAAAAGAGCTCAGGGACAGTGCCCTGCCCCTGACTTCAAACTCCACAACTGACAAAAAAAAATCAACAAGAAAGAAAGTGATAAGCCCCAAATCACAGAGACCAGCACACTCAGACAAGGATCTGGGCATTCTGGACTCCCATGTCATTTTTCATTATACTCATATCTAAAGAATTCAATAGGGTCCCAAATAAGTAAGTATTGTCCTTTTACCCACCTGGACAGGAGGATCCTAGACTCACCTTGCGTTGCAACCAGAATGCCAGGATAAGCTGAAGGCTTCAGAAGGGAAATGCATGGTGGTGGCCACTTCAGGGCATCCCTCCAGCAGCTTGGCCACATGCCATGAGTGCGGCCTACTGACAGGGGCGTTTCTCCTATAGCAAGAAAGCGACAGGAAGTTGGCTTAGGGAACCAGGGCTGAAATCACTTCCCAGGCAGCTTCCGCCCCACCCCCTCTTCCCCTTCAATGATGAAGAACATCTTGCAAGGAATCTGAGTTCTCTCCCTCAATTCCCAGTACTCAAACCCTTCATCCTGGGAGAGTGGGATCCTAAATATACAATATGCCACTTTCACAGGGCTATTTTGTTTATAAAAGGATCCTAAGTACATATAATAATGCAGGACATATATTTGTGGCATACATGACAGTTGCTGACAAATAGGGTACCTACCCTCATTTCTCTTTGAGGGAAAATAAAAACACCCAACAATGTGGTTACTCTTTCCAGAAGGAGGCAAGTATAGTTGTTAGAACAAATCAACACCAGGCTGTTAATTCTCCAATTTTGGCTTACTCATTCAATAAGTGTTTTTGTGTGTTTAATATGTGCCACCTGCATGGAATCCTGGGGGTACAGATATGAACCAAGAACATTCTTTGGCCTTGAGAACTTAGCATTCATAAGAAGAGACAAAGCTAATTCAAATAAAGCAAGGTCAGGACACTGAGCCAGTGATGGGCACAGATGTGAGACACTTGAATTTGTAGGCAAAGTAGTAAACAGGAAGTCCCCACTCCATTGAGGAGAAATAGAACAAAATAGTGAATGGCACAGAGCTAGGCAGATGGGGTAAATGGACTGCTCAGGAAGTCAGGGGTGAAGAAAGGAAACAGGTCTGAGGCCAGGGACTGAATGCAGTCAAGGATCTGTCTGTTATTACAGACCATGGCCACAACTTTTGCATTGATTGGTTTATTATGCTAGACTCATCTCTGCCCCTAAACATGAATAAATGCCATTCTTGCAAGTGGGGAAGAACATGCAAGGGGCATGAAGAATGCAAAAGGCTAAAGTAATGGCTGAAGGGACAGAGAAATAGGGGAGGGAAGGTGCGGGGTTGAGATTGCAAGGAGAGAGGAAAGAGAGAACAGGGAGACAGCAAAGGCTGAAGGGGCAGGAAGACACCAGAGATAAGATGAGAAATGAAATGGAGAAAACTGAGAAAGATGGGAGAGAAATATTTTAGTAGATAGAAATGAATAGTATCTGCCCACTGCCCCAGAGGAAACACAGATGAGCCCAGCTGTGCCAGGCTGAGGCCTAGAAAGGTAGTTCTGGGGAATTTGGCCTTCTAGGGACCCATGGATGAAGTGGTAACAGGCCAGATAGACAAGGTGCAGGAGGAAGGGAAGAGGAAGCTGCTTGTCAAATGTCAGAGCCACAGGTGAGCAGCAGTGGCTAAGATTTACAGGGAGGAAAATAAGGTGAGGCCCTACCTTTGCAATCACATTGTTCTGCTCTGGAACACAGAGGGCCCAGCAGGGAGTCTAGGGGGTGCTAGAAGGACTTGAGGCTGCTACACAAAGCCTGGTTGCTGGGAGACTTCTCCAGGTGCTCTTACCCAGTAGTCATGTGATCAACGCCTATATATCAAGCATCTTCTAGATATGGTACTGGCTATATCAGGTCTGTGTATCATGCATATCTAATATGTTCTGTGTTCCTAGGCATTGAGGCTATAGTGGGCAAAAGAGCACCTGTCCTATTTCAGGTTCTTCTTCCAGATCCAGGATTCCTGATGCTCTTAGTCAGCTTTGTGACCAACTTCTAGAACTTCAACTCTCTAACCAAAGTTCTACTGTGCCACTTCTAGGGATTGAACTCAGGGCCTGTGCACTGCTCCTGAGCCTCTTTGTGCTCAAGGCTAATACTCTACTACTTGAGCCACAGAGCCACTTCTGGGTATTTTGAGTCATTTATTGGAGATAAGAGTCCCACAGGGACTTTTCTGCTGGGGCTGGCTTCAAACAATGATCCTCAGATTTTAGCCTCCTGAGTAGCTAGGGTTACAGGCGTGGGACACCAGCACCTGTCTTTTGTTGTCATAGAAATTAGAACAAAAAGATATACAAATTAATAATTAAAATAAATAAAATATTTCAAAAATAATATCATTCAGGTGCTGGTGGACCACACCTGTAATTTTAGCTACTCAGGTGGCTGAGATCTGAGGGTTACAGTTTGAAGGTTGCCTGGGCAGGAAAATAGAACTCTCATCTCCAATTAACTCCAAAAAATGCCAGAAGTGTAGCTGTGGCTCAAGTGGTAGAGAGCTATCCTTGAGCATAAAAGCTCAGGGACAGCGCCCAGGCCGAGTTCAGGCCCCAGGACCAATACACACACACACAAAACAAAACAAAAAAAATCCTAATATCTGTGTCTATGGAATTGTTGAAAGATCATATGAGACAATGTGTGTCTCATTTGAAGGCTTAAACCTGGTGCTGGTCAGATCTCAACCAGAAAGGGTCATTACTATGACTGTCTTCTCTACTTACAATGGACCCTCCAGCCTATTCTTACGGTGCTGCTCAAGTGTTATCCACTGTAGGTAGCTTGCTCTGAACAAGTTAGCTGTCAACAGAGTCCATAATAACATGGTATTTTACATTGTTTGTCATCACATCATGTATATTAGCTTTATAATATCAACTACGTCAAGCTCATAGGCAGAATGATATGAAAACAGCTAAGACAGATCTAGGTTCAAGTCCTAACTCTACCATTTTAGATATGTGATTCTATTGAGCCACTTAAACCAGCTGAGCTTCAGTTTTCTCACCTGAGAAAGGGAATAACCATTCTTAACTGGCTAGGTTATTGTACGGATTAGAGAGAAATTCTCCAAGCATCTGAGACAAGGTCTGCTGCATAGCAAGCGGTCAGTAATTGGCAGGCACTTCAGTGGCAGTTATTAGCCCAAATGCATCCTTTTAGATGGCTCAAAGGAGTCTGACCATCCACTATCAAAACTGTACTATGCTACAACATTCTGCTTGCCACAGTTTTGAGAGGTCACTTTATAAAGGCCCTTCACTCTCTAGGGTTATGCGGGGACTAGGAAACCATCTCAAAGAAGACTGAGGAAGGTGAGAAGGGCAGTGGGGGCTTTGGAGATACTTGGAACAAATGAAAAGGTGGGGAGGACGAAAATACTAGTAAAGAAAATGAGGAAGAAAGAGGATGGGGGGGGGAGATCCTTCTAACCCTAGCTTGGGAAAGAAAAGAAACTCTCTGTAGGATCTAGTACTTTAACATGTTCCTATTCCTGAGTTGATATAGACCCAGGATTCCGTATTTCAAATTCAATCCTAGTGTCCAAAATTCTGATTGTATGACCTTGGGCAAGTCATTCCTCTGAGTTGCAGATTCTCCTTGGGAAGGATTATTGGGCACCAAACCCACAGTCTTATGCATGCTGGGCAAGTACTATACCACTGAGGAGATTCTCTCAGCTCCTTGAGTTATAGATTATCTGTAAAACAGGGAAGATGACCACCTCTTCCTCATGAATTATGGCCTGGATTAAATGCAATCAGTGCCACATGTGGCATCAATTGGCAAAGTGCTTGATCACTACTCTATTAACAAAACACCCAAACTCAGATAGGGGCCAGTGGCTCACACCTGTAATCCTAACTATTCAGGAGGCTGAGATCTGAGAATTATGGTTCAAAGCCATCCCAGTCAGGAAAGTCTGTCAGACTCCTATCTCCAATTAACCAGCAAAAATGAGGAGAGCTGTGGTTCAATTTGTATAGTATTAGACTTGAGCAAAAAAAGCTCAGGGATACCATTCACTGCCTGAGTTCAAGCCCCAATACCAGCCCACGTACACACGTGCGCGTGCACACACACACGTGCACACACACACACACAAAACAAAAATACCCAAACTCAATAGGGGCTGAAGATTTAAGGTATGCCAGGCACTAAATATTTTATATACATTATCTGATTTAATCCTCACTCCATCCTTATTTGTAGGAGCTGTTATTGCCCCCAATTTACAGATAAAGAAATAGCAGTACAGAAAGATTAACTAAGTTGCCAAGAGCATACAGTTAAAAACCAATGGAATGGCAATCAGATTTGCCAGCTCTTCCTAGGATACCACACAACCCTTCCTCCCCAAAGGGATCTATCTCAGAAAACTTATAGACCTGAAGCTTCTTATAGCCATTACCTTAAGAAGTATATCAAAAAGGGAAGTCTCAGTAGTCTTGGACCTGAAATCACCTCCTCTTTAGACAAGGAGGAAGGGAGATGGCGGGGGATGGAGGGGGAGACTGGACAGATAAATACAAAGATGAAAAACATCACATCCACCAACCCTGCAGCCCAGACCCCAAATATGAGAGCAACGACACCAACCCTTGCCTTTTCTCCTAGGGCTGGCTCAGGCACTATCACTGAACACACTTTACCATTCATTACCCCCAAAAGCCTTTCTTAGACAGGAGAAACACAAAGATATTAAAGAAAAAAAACAGGATGAGGAAGAAGTATAGTAGCCATGACAGCCACAATGACTGACTGTACCTACCATAGAAGTTTTCCAGGGTGGAGAGATGGCTTAGGAGAGAATGAAGTATCCAGCTAGCTCACACTCTCTGACAACCCTGGAGTCAGCGTCTTCTCTTAGCTGGGACCCATCTGCCCTCTAGTTAAGACCTCCTGAGTGAGGGACTATCCATCCAAGGGACTCAGGATCAGTCAAGTCCCATTTCCAAGAATAGGATAAAATAGCACTGGAGGCAAGGTATGTCATCAGCCTGGCTGGGCCTGGATGTAGCCACAGCCTTACAGATTGGAAGCCAGTGGCAAAAGGTGGATAGGAGTGAAGACAGACGCTGCTCCAGGAACCAGCTAGCACCCTGGTGGCAAAGGGAAGAATGAAAGGCAGTTCCAACAGCATAAACAGCCCCCCTGTTCCTGACTCCCACCTCTTCTGAGTCCTGGTCCACCCCCTCTGAGCCCTGGCCCACCCCCTTCATGGCTCAGAGGCCAATAAGGAAACTGGGCCCCCAGCCACTGCTAGAACTCAGGAAAGGAGCAAGGAAATGATGTTTGGGAAAGATAAAGCGGGT